GCGTCAGTCTGCCGTGAGACACGCGTGAGTGCGGTTGGGGCATTTAAAAAAATAATTCGGGAGTTAAAGGGTTACGTCTCAGCATAATCATCTTCATATTATTAACCTTCACGCAAATTCACACTCAGCTAAGCATATATACAAAAGTTAAAAATTTGCAAAATATATTTGACTCTTATGTTTGTTTTAGTCTGAAAAATCTCGAAATTAGTCTCAGCTCTCCGTATTGAATACTAATAAGGGAGTAAGCAACCATTTCTTTTACTCCAAAGAATAAAAGGTAATAATTTGGCATGATTCAACGTAAACATATATTTATTTCTCATTAGGTTAATAAGTTTAATTTTCCTAGGCAAAATAAATCATTTTCACCCAAAACATTTATAATTGAATAATTAGGGATAAGGAACTTGACAATTAAATAAACTGACAGGGGAAAACTTTTTATAATAAATCAGAAGAAGGTATTTCGCATAAGTTCTGTTAGTATTCCAATCAGGATAAAGATGATCATTTAATGCTTTCTAGTTTCTTTCTTATTAACTATACTTAATTTAGTCATGTTCATGCCTTGTGTCCCGGCCTGGCGATTATTGCATTTCTGCGCACACATCTAGTTATGCAAATCTTATTGGAGCAATTATCACTAAAACTGTTGGCTAATTATATACCTAATCTCTTTACAAATTTCTATTCACATATAAGCACCTTTGTTTTCCACAAAAATAAAACGGTCTTTACGATCTTCAGACTCAAAATCCATTGAGTCAATGACCATTCAAGGGTTTTCAGATTTTTGTTAGACACCATTTCTCAATTATACTGCATGTACAAGTTAGTTTCGAGTCCTAGCGTTAAAAAACGCGAAAATACCTCACTAATCTATGTGAATACACATTTTAGTTGCCTAAATACATATGGCATGGTGATGGCCTTGAGCTTTACTTTACCATATGTTTGGAAGTTAACGAATTCAGACCAAAAGGCCATTTATTTCATTCAATCATGTCCTTTAAATTATATTTAATCCCAAAAGTATTATTATTATATCAAATGGCAGGCGTTCTGATTGTTATCATTAGCACTTTAGTTGACTTCAGTCTTCACAGAGGGAAGGAACATCAAAGTGTAAAAAATTCAAGAGGGGGGGGGGGAACAGAAGAGTGTATCAAAGACGAAGGTAGATAAGGTTTAAAAAAGGTGGGATGAATACTGTGAAAGTAGTTGAATATGACATGCAGTGGGGTCATGGTAGTTTGAAGTCAACTGCCAGGTAATAGACTTTTTTTGCCGTATGAGTATACGTTGTCCAGGGGGCACCACGTGGAGGTAAGTCTATCACACACCCCTTAATTCCAGAAGTAAAGGCAGCCCGTTTATTTTAAAGGAGTTCAACGTCAAATTTTGTCATACATTGTTGTACTTGATAGGACTACCAGGAATAATTATGTTGCGGATAGAACGGCATACTTATAAATCTGCGAAGTCAGAGCTGTGGGACACGTTATCGCTTTGTGCGTCATCGCATGTCTGGACGCCAGGATTGGGAGGTGCGGCCGTACAACTCTGTGTGCAGCGACCGTACAAACAGTGGCCAATCATCAACCTCTGTTTAACCTAATCCCCCCATCCTTCGCCGTACAACTCTGTGTGCAGCGACCGTACAAACAGTGGCCAATCAGTAGCCTCCGTTTGTTTACCTAATCCGCCATCCTGATCATGAGTAGCTCCCTGAGTGTGCTATTTACTCACAATAATCATACTGAATAAACGTGTTCCGTGCTACGCGTCTGTTTCCTTTCATAACTGGACTATAGATTAGCTAGTTCTGGGAGTCTAGCTAGAGGTAGGAGAATCTGTCACAGAGATTTCTGAGTCAGTCAGGCTTTACTAGCGTAGCAGCCCGCTACAGAGCTTTGATATACATTAATGACGATCCAACTGGTCGAAAAAAGGGACAATTCCTAATACTAGTCCTCTGTCCACGACAAATGTTGCAAAGCATCTGGAAGTCATTAGTAACGTGGGGTTTAATAAGTAGCTGGCGCTTAGCAGGTTCTTCACGATAAGGAGAACGTGGTTTGTGAATACACAAGTTAATGGGCAAGGAACTTACACTACTTTCAAAGGGTTTTATTAACAATAGCGGCCATTGACATCTATTTTGGCTTCAATCAGGTTCCGACCTTTGGAACTTGAAATAAACTAGTTTTGTGCTTTCAAGGTAAGGGCTTCGAAAAGCTGTTGGGTGGGAGCAATAGGATCAAATAGACTGTTTTGCTATTTTGACCACGAAACCCTCATAATCTCAATTGCAACTTTCTATTTCGTGCTCTTTCGTTTTAACAGTTCATCAATTATAATTGATTTTTAGTTTTTTCTGTCCTTTTCAAATTCGGCTCTATCCACAACCCATTCTGCTGGATCTCCGAAAACGGTGGCTGTCCATCGTTGAGTGATATCTGTTTGACTCATTCTAACAATTTGCTGATTCTCCGAAAACTCCTAACTACAACTCCACCAACCAATTTAAACAAAATGTGGATTGATTTTTCAATTGGACCACCTTCATTATTGTTATCGCTCGCTTTTAAGGGTGGAGAAAAAGCTTAATACTTTTTCATAGAAAGTTCTCCCGGAGGGACTAGATACCATAATAAAATTATTGGAAATAAATTGTTCAATAAAAAAATCTCAGCTATCCTTTTCTTCAATTTTATTGAATAACCTAAATAGTCGCTTTGGATACTAGAATTCTGTTCGATTTAATTGCCCTTTCCTTATTTAAAAGCATATTTTAAAGTCATATTGATTTTAAATTACCTTATGCCAAAAACTTTGACTGAGCAGTTAACCAGAATGTTTGATAGTAGTTCTCCAAAATTCTACCTGATTATACTCGTTCCTAGTATTACTAAAGCACGGACCAGCTTCAAAGCTCCATTTATAAGAGGCGTAAATAATTACCTTTTATGGTTAAATGCATTAACGGAAGTAGTTGGCAGTTATAAATAATTTACATTGTGGTATTGGGGTGTGTGGGTGGTAAAAAAGCTAGTGTTTGCAGTTGAACCACAATATTACCTTCACTCAATTGAAATTTTATTCAAACCTTTGAAATGCCTGGTTATTTACGTTTTATTGAGCCATAATTTCTGGAATTTTGATTATTTATGGCTTGAAATAAATAAATTTTTCAGTAAATTATTTGTTCTTATAGAATATTTGCGTCTTTAAGTCTGAAGATGATATGGTGAAAGCATTGAGGAAATAATCCAAGTCATTCTAAGGCATTTGAGATATTATATGAGCCTTTTTGATTAAAATATAAAGTTTATTTGCAATAATCCAGCGAGTGTATTTGTCCCTATATGCAGTAACCTTCGATTGTGCACAGGATAAGACCGTTTGAGGGAGATATTAATGTTGAAGCTAGGCAACAATTTCATGTACCAAAATGCAGGGCATTCATTGGTATATACAATATCTAGTAGTGTGCAAATAAAGTTTTCAAGTAATCCCACAAGAATTGGGAAAGATGAGTAATTTAAATAACTATATGTAAGTAACTGTTACTAGGACAAAAATACTCGTAACTTACAGTGTGTTAAAAGAATTAACCAATTGTACTGAAAGCACACTTAGAGTCCATAGCATTACTTTAGATAGAGATTCCTGGGATTCAAAGAGAAACAATAAATTCAAGGCACGCACTCCAATATCCAATTACATGATGAGATATATAAATTCATATACAAAACAATATTAATCTTCACAAATCATGAACTTTTGTAAATAATTTAAAGTTCATTCTACTTGCTTTGCAGCTTTAACATGGCCGCTTACTTAACATAAAACTAAAATCATGGGAAAATAATTGAAAATGAAATTTTCATAAATTTCATCAAACCCATTGGCTTCCTCGGTTTCTCTATGTCTGTTTCTCCCACTGAAGTTTCAATTTGGAATTTCTGATTGGTGGTCCATCCATGTCTCAAGTAGAACGAAACCATTTAGAGCCTTAAGATTCGTCTTATTTTGGCTATCTAAAACAACCCTTAGAATTAACGATTAATTCGTTTCTCTCATTTTTCTTACCTTTCATCCGTTTATGCCTCATTTCTTTTCACCTGCCATTTGAACAATTGCTCTTCATAACTTCTGATTGTTACATATGCTGAAGGCTCTTTCTTCTGTTAATCTTAAAACAGTCAGAAGTTTTATTAGTGAAACTTAATCTACTTTGGTCTGCTTCCTAAGGTGCTCTTAATTCGGACGAAAGTTTCTTTAAAATCAAACGATCAGAGAGCTAAGAGAATTACATCGCATTTATTCCGTACCCTAATCAAGTTTACAGACATGTTCTTCATTTAGCTAATGAACTTTATTGTAGCACTATGAGAAAGTCACTGCTACTTTTGGATTTAAATAATAATAAGCGTGAACATCAACATTTGTCCATCAATGTTAAAATATGAGAATTTAAATTTTTCCACAGATTTAACATGACAATTTTAACAATTCCAGATGTTATTGTTATGGATTAGATGTTTAATATATATTAGTGATGTACCAGTCCAATTTTACAGGGCATTAAAACATAATTTTTCATCTCAAAAGTACCTGTTCATTTAATCTGTGAGGTTTTATGACTAATTGACGGCTAATCTATCCTGAGCATATTATTTGTATTATGTAACAGAAAAAGTTTTGCGAAGCAATCGGTACACATTAGTATGTCTTGTAAAAGTTGGAATTAAATTGCGTGAAACTTTAAAATTGATGTTTGACTTATAATACTTGTTTAAATACGCCTAACTTAAAACATGTGAAATAAAACGTTTCGAATCAGGAATAAATGTAGTTACAATATTAACTACCTTTGAAATTTGGATTTTACAATCTTGCAAATATTTGTTAATCTTTACTACCAACTGCCAGCTTTCTGAAGGTTGACGTGTAAGCCAATCAGCAGATTGCTCGTATGCCTGACGTACGAGATGCCTTTGGTCAACGAGGAGTACAAGTATTCATGCTTCCAAAATCTTGCTCTAAATGTATTAAAGCAAGGTATAATTCCTTTCCACGTTGCCTTTATAATGGATGGAAATAGACGGTACGCGACATCACGTGGTCTTCAGAAAACAGAAGGCCACAGTCAAGGATTTTCAAAATTATCCGAGGTAACAACATATTTTACCTATAGTTTTAAGGTTTTGAGGTGGTGTTACGATTTTGGAATAAAAGAAGTATCAGTTTACGCATTTAGTATTGAAAACTTTAAAAGAGCTGAAAATGAGGTTTCTTTTTTAATGGACTTGGCTCTTGAAAAGTTGAACGAACTTGCACAACACAAGTAAGTGCTTTGTATTTATAGGAACTTTATTTGCTTAAGGGAGGATTTGGATAAACAGGGTATTAGAGTTCGAATTTTGGGAAACATTCGAATGCTGCCAAAGAGGTTGCAGCGTGTTGCGGCTCAGATCATGCTCATGACAAGAGAAAACACAAGGCAGGTTAATTGTCTACTCAGAAAAGATTTTTTGAAAATTTTAGTCCCTTCAAGTTCTTTTGATTTTAGAGCCACGCTTAATATAATGATGCCTTACACAACTCGGGATGAGCTGACTTCGGCATTGGATAATATTCGCCGTGGTGTGCAATCGGGTTATCTTCACGAAGAGTAATTATTCTTTTTTTCTTGTGTTTTCCACATGTTCTATTAACTAACATTAGTGGTTCTTTCGCATTAATCGGGAGCTTACTTTGCCTTTTATATGTGTTTCGCGTCTTAAGTATGGGCGTGAATCCAATTGTCATGTTCTTAATGAAGGATACAGTGGGGAATTTCGAACTTATTCTCATCCTCTTTTATTAGTGAGTTTCTGATTCACTGAAGGCCACAGATTTGAAATTCATTTGTGTGAATTTTTGAATGAGCGTTCAATAATAAGTAAGGTGGTTATTTGCTTTTAACCCAAGTGTTATTGATCCGCATTTTTTTGTTTCGTTTGGAATTTCATGAACGCTTCGAAACTATGCATGTTGCATTTCCAAATGACCAGATTGGTATAAGTATACCTTTCCGTTTTACGTTCTGCACCACATTTATTCATCTTCTACCTATGAAGGCAGTTTCTGCAGTTGAGACGTGAGTGTTGTGTATTAGATTAAAAAAATAGTCTGGTAATTTCATAGCATTTGCATACATTTCTTATTTCCGTATTTGATATAGTTAAAGCTATCTCTTTTCCATGCACGTAGTAGCACTGCAACACTTCCTACTGTAGGTAATTTAGTAGCATCTGGGAATGAGATGGCTCTGAAAATGAATTGACTTCCTTTTTAATCTTCTCATATTTACTAAGAGATATTTCTCAACGCTTGATTACTCCTATTGTTTAGAATTAATCACCTACCTTACTGGATTTGTGCCAATGGTAATCAAATTGTGAATTGTTACATTAACCATAATACATCTGGTTTACCTTTCGTCATAAAAATACCCAACTTATTATTGGGTATGGAAAGTGCATTGAGATTAGTCATTACATTTATGCTTATTAAATAATGGTGTCGTTGTTGAATGTAGAGTTATAGGTCTCAGTCTATTTATACCATTTTTTTAGCTTCACTCTTTAAGTGCCATTCTAGTTTCATCATTCAATTCCTTTTAGATTGCTCGAGGTAGTTTCTTTTCAATTGGAGCGTCGTCTTTAGTTGGTTTTGATGGCGGTTCCTCATCCGTTCCTTATGTATTCGATTACGGGTCTATTCATGTTCTGCTAATTTGTATTAACATGCTAAAATTAGGTGATAACACGTCTTGTGGAAATGGTATATTGCTTTTGTGCACTTTTCATAAGGTCAAATTTGAATCAGGCAATTTGAATAATCTCACTCGTCAATGCTAGATATATGTATATATACTGTACTACTCTCACTTTACACATTTTAGTTCATCACATTTACGTCGTCTTCTTTCTCTTTATTCTAGTGATATATCTCCCGAGGTGATAGATCGAAGCAGCATTCTACGGGATTGTCGCCCATTGGACCTTCTAGTGCGGACGTCCGGTGAAGTGCGATTGAGCGACTTCATGCTCTGGCAAGCCTCGCGAGCTGCATCCACCTTCTCTTTTCTCACTGTCCATTGGCCTGCTCTCTCCTTTTGGCATCTCGTAGTTGCTCTTCTTCAATTCCAACTCAATCGGGCTGCTCTTCTTCCTTTACCAGAGGTATGCTAAAATTGACAACCCTTGTTTTGAACTGGAACCATATTCAAAGACTCACAAACTGATAGTTAAAACACGTTCTGACTACTTCGCATTTTATTGTCTTGAGTTATACTTGACGGTAGTCTCTGTATCTAAAGGTGAGGTTATTATTTGGTCAGATACTGAGATCCTGGATACTACAGTTGTTAAAACTGTTGCTGCTACCATTAGCAAGTAGATTTTAATCTTTTGCATTTTTTTCACAGTGCGCACGATGTCATCTAAATCGGTCGAATTCCGAAGCCATTACGGTCAATGGACATAACGGAAAACAGTACCCCATCGTAATTGATGTAAACGAGATGAAAGAACGTAAACACCGTCTGGAAGCTTTCTACAGAATGCTCGAGCATGTGTACTACGATGAACTCATTGAAATGTCAAATTTTCCTGAAGATGCTGCTGACGAATAAGAAGTGTCTGAACAGTGAAAACAATCATTCCACCAGCACAGATGTTCTTTGCTTCGTGTATGTATGTATATATGTCAACGAAAGAAATTATTATTACCCTATTTACTTATTTCTATATTGGATATGCCGAGGATAATCTAACTCCGGTTTTGAAAGAATAAATACCATGCGTTAATTTGCTGTTTTGTAGTCTCGCGTTTCTGAAAATTGTTTTTTAAAGTTTTACTGTTCTAACTCTGTTGAACGTTTTCCCAGTAAATAGGAATCTTCGAAATGATTTAAAGATGCGATTTTAAACGCCAAGTGACGGTAGAAATCACACAATAATTTACCAGAATAAACCACGATATAACAGCGCCCTGTTGATAAGAGGTTTGCGACTGACTGGCCTTAGCTTCTCATATATTCGCTTAATTGTGTACTTATACGAGAAGGAACCCCCTTAAGGTTATGCAAATAGTATCCAGTATGATTGTTTACTCTAATCCTTTTAGATAATAGGGTGAGTGTCCAATCGACATATTCAAAACGATTGTTTTCAATATGCAGGCGTGTTTCATCAATATCAATACTATACATCATTATTATACCAATATGCTAACAATGAAATGTGAAGATAGTCGGGTGGGTTTAGGCGAAATATAATACTCATATATACACAGAAAGAGAGGGGAGAATTGAAGAGCTGAACGTTCAACATTGTCTAAAGATAGAAGAAACTATCGGGGACGAGGTGTTCTATATTGCTGCTGTAGAGGAAAAGGGGGAGGACGGTAGGGAGGAAGACGACCGCTTGGTCTTGAGCACCCTGGATTAACACCAAATGGTGGTGGAGGGTGTCGGTATTGGTTCTGAGGAGGGTGGCCAGACCCATTAGCCATGCTGCAGCCCTGGTTTGAATGAGGGTATTGGCGAGGGGGCATTGGCCAACGTGGCGGCATCGATGAACTTCCAGGACCTAAAAATATTGAAGAGATTAGAATAAACTACCTATATACACAACTCGCTCGAGGGGATTAAAATAAGAACGTTGCCAAGTGACATGCTATATGGCATTATGATGACATGAAAATATCTTGCCGCCCCACTTCTGACCATTCAATATACACAGCAAAAAGGATGGAGTATTAAAGCACTTTTCAAACAAATTAAACATGGTAAGCATTATCATTAAGGTATGTGATCGCGAAAAAACCAGCAGGTTTTAATAATGGGAAAGAACTCGATCAAAGTAGAGTGAACAAGATAAAGAAGACGTGCTGCGTTGTGTGTATCGAATACTCGACGATTGGCGTGAAATAATGAATATTTCGGCTATTTGCTACTTCGTAGTATGCCGATGCACTGCCATTAAATAAAACTGTTCTGCATTCCTATGGGGAGAGACAAACCACGAAGCTATTGATGTATATGAAACACGAAAGCTAATTACAGGTAGGCAATAAAGAAGGAGCACTATAATACTTGTACTAGCTATAAAAATGTCAATAGACAAAATTGGACAGAAACACAAAGTGTGTCCTATTTCGTCTGTTTCTTAATCCCAATTCTCATTAATTCATCGTCCAATAATACACATTTTCCGACTTAACTCATGGTCTTCCCATTCGGAAAATCCTGTTGTATCTGGAAGGACATTGAGAAAAAGTCTATTAGTCAAACTTGGCCAAACTGTTGAAGTAGCTTTACTGGATGATTAGCTTCTCGATTTGTCAAAAATCTAATTTTCATTGTACAATGTCGTAATGCTCAAATTTGACGATTTAAATACCATGTTCAAGAGTGAGATTGGGTTCACGATATTCAGATCTTGTTGACCAGCATCGATCTATGTGCATCTTGTCTCAGCAGAGAGGAAGTAGACGAGACTAATAACGATATGCAATGTCGTAGGTAATATTATTTCTTAATAATTCCCATAAATCACCTCCAACTTAGAGGACATGCCAAAAAACCGATACAGATATTAAAAATATAAATAAGCGGACCCAATTGTTGATCTTTCGTCTTCATCAAGGCCAAAACAGATTGAATTGAAAAGGGTATCTATACCACGAAAGAAATAATAGTTTCTACGTAGTTGACTACTCTACAATTTTTGCCTAAATAACAGTACCCTCCCCCCACCCCCAACTTGAAGAGACAATAATGAGAAATAAGAAAGAAACACTTGCCTTGAGAGTATGGACGGTCCATTGCATAAGGAGCATTGGGATAACGCATCGGATTTTGGCCCGCAGGTGGTGGAGGATGCGAAGTCGTCCAGGGTCCTGGATGGTGGTGCTGTGTATCCTGTTGATAAGGGTAAGTCTGCGGTGGCATTCCTCCCATAACCGGACCAGCTAGAGCAAACGAAATTTCTCACGTCAGTCGCACGTTTATTCATATTATAATTGCTATAGAGTAGTGCTCAATTAGTTCAGTAGACAGTAAATGAAATTGAGATAGGATTCAGAAAGGAACCGTTATTAACGAGATATCCACATAGTACAGCATTGAGGCTGCGTGAGGTAAACGACAATCAGGCAGGGTTGACAACACAAAGGAGATAAATGTGGTTTATTATAGCGGAGAGATAAGACTGAGTTTCTTCCTGTTTCAATGGGTTTGACAATTGTCATAAAGGAAATAAACTACATTTCAGAGACAAGATCCCGCATCCACTGCTATTAGGAACGTTTATAGACAGCGGAATGGTCAAATGGCTAAGAAGGTTCCAGTTAGTCTTAGATAACTTCACAACATGAATTCTGTGTTTTGAATTACGTTCAGCATCCACTATAACCCCCTCCCTTCAAAATGTTAGGTGGTGGGGATATTAGCAGATAAGTCAAATACACCCTTGGACTCGAATTATTCACACGCATAGTGTGCATGAAATAGTAACGTCATTGTCCTACCTTGCCTGGCCAACTTTCAACCCAAATCGTATTTTGCCAACTATAAAAACAAGTAGTAAATGTGATTATCAAATCTCTTCAAATGGATTAAACACATTGAATCGCTCTCAATACTTCAAGGAAAACGTAGGGGCAAGACGCATTGCCAAACAATACTCAGTCTCAGCTTCACTCCCAAAAGAAAAGTAAGATCGGCTTTATGGTTAGATCAGGTACGATAGTAGTATGACATCGAGGAAAGAATTGAGAACAGTTGACTTAGATTGAGAAAAGGCACAATGCAACTGAAGGATTAAACGGAGACTAGCAATATTGTTACTTCAAAACAGGGAAGAACTAGTTATAGCTGTAGAACAGATCTGCAATATTAGATGAAGATCGGCGAATATCAATTTTGTCAACAATTAACAGGCGCAACCACCCACTACTGCGCGCCACGAGGACATGAATATATTCCAATCTCTTACCAATAGTAGCATTTGTAGGTGGCTGTGGGGGCGGAGGTCCAAGAAATGGTGGTGGCGGCGGAGCTGTCAAGGGATGGGTTCCAGGAGTGGGAAGGGGTTGAAGATTACCACCACCGCCACTAGTATGTGGTGGGACATTGGTCATTGCTGGTGGCGGAAGCAACACCATGCCAACAGTAGTAGCATTGTAATGTTGCACCATTGTAGGCGGAACTGAAGGATGTTGTGCGACTCCATATGATGAAATAGGGACTGCTGAGACTGGGGCATTAAGACATTGACCAGATACAACTACAAAAGGCAAAAAAATGAGATTATATTAGAGCTACCAATAAGAAATCCCAAAATTTAAAAAACGCAAGATATGGTTTTTAATCAAAGTACTTGTTCAAGTGATTTTCCACTTCGGTCGCATTTCGAAATTGTTTTTCCCCTAGAGTATGCTACATGGACTTTAAAAGATGACAACCGTATGGATCAAATATGAAGAATGTGGAAAAGCCCTCTAACTTTTAAGAAAATATTCACGATTTGTGGGGGCGGAGGGCATTGTCATGTTGAAGAAACGTCCATTTTTTCAAATACCTAGACTTCTAGATTTGTCTTTCAATTTCTGGTTTAGCCTTCTTAGGTGCTGACAACAATAAACTGGCTTTGGAATTGGTTATTACCCAAGCAACTCAAAAAAACGTATGATGAAAAGTTGTGAAGGGTCAAACCTGGATTGGCTTGGGTGGTTTTTCCCAATAACTCTGTCGAAAACGCTCTTCAACTCGATTCGGTGAAAAAAATTTCCTGTTGTTAAAACACGTAAGAAACAAACCAAAATTGTCATCAGTGGACTGCGAACAATTGATCGCCAACCTCAACCATTGACGTACAATCTCTCATCCAGAAAAACAGCATATCGTGTCTGTGCGACGTGCTATCCGTCTGCTTTGAAAGTGGACATGTTTAGCCTTAGCAATAAAATGAAATTAATTGTCCAGAGATCATGTTGAACAGTTTGGCAACTAAGAGTTGTTTCCTTCACCGTGTCTGAATACAAGTTGGACTCACCCGTTTGTAAATTACAAGATTTCTATTTGAAACCTCTAAAATAATTAATGTGATCAAATGAATGCTGCGTTAGCAACTGCTACAATTTGTTACTGCTCCGGTGACGGTGCTAGAACAGTTTAGCTCACGAACGACGCCGACATTAGTTAACACCTGACGACCTTGATTATCATCTCAAGTATGGTAAATGGAGTTCAATTTCGAAATTCATTTAATGATCTGAAAAGGTAACGGTTTGCACTGATTCCTGGCCAACAATCGCCATAACACTGCCTTAAGCCGAAAAACAACTAACCCGGAGCACCAGAATTCGCAAAAAGTAGAAGCGGAGCCTTAGTCTGACCCGATGTTAAGGTGGTTGGGGATGGCAAAAGAGGTTCGGTGCTTTCAGACGGCTGAAGTGGTGGCGGAGGTGGGGGTGGCGGCGGGGGNGGGGGGGGGGGGGGGGGGGGGGGGGGGGGGGTGGAGGCGGAGGAGCAGGCGGAATCGAAACTTGTTGCTGAGGTATCGACTTCGTCGTTGGCACAGATGCTTTTGGGGGTGTGACAAGTAGTCTTCTTCTCAACTCCTCTGGCATTGATTCCGCATCAATTAAGGCATATCCCTCAAGCAAAGCTCGAAACGCTGTCGGGGTCATAGTGGAGACTACATCAAGAGGCAAGTAGGTGCATCCAGCAGCCTCATTCCAATGAGGAAGTTGAGCTCGTCTCACACCTAGATTGGCTGCCCAGGCTACCTTGACAGTACGTGACTCAATGGGGGTTCGAGAAAGGTTTTGCCGAGCCCGGGCGGCTGCTGCTCGGGTTTCGAAGGTCACGAAAGCACAACCACGTGGAGGAATAAGGAGGCAGTCAAGGACACGTGCGTGAGCGGATTTTTCGCAGACACTCTGGAGGCGGGTCTCTGCTAGCTGTTTGTGCAGTCGCCCGATGTAGAGAGTTCGTGAGACTAGAGAAATATGACCCTCACGTAGCTCAGGCAGAGCATCGCGTTCGCGGCGATGTTCCCTTCTTTCCGACGAGGTTTCCCCACCTCCTCCTGAAATACGACCAATGAGGAACTGCTCTGTCTCATCTGTGGTGGTGGGTTGTAGTTGTGGTGACACAGTAGTAGTGGCTGTTACATCTGATGCTTGTACTGGTGCCGGGGGAGAAATCTTCATTACTGGAGATATATCATCGGATCCCGATGACACGGTTGACAATGAGGAAATCGATGATGAATGGAAACGGCTGTAATAAAAAAGGTAAAGAATAAATTTTACTGAAAAGCGATATTAGAAACAGATTTTATTCACTAGATGACTTTCAAGATAAAGCAAATTTGTTCATAACAAGCTCAAATACCCAAGCTTGAGCTCACTGTCCTCAAATATCCTACACCATTATGGTTTTAATAATTCAAGGTTTTTAAAATTCAACTCAGTTTAGTCGAAAAGTGCTTTTAAACAGCCAGACAGGAAAAAACCAAGGATTCTCATCATCAAATTAATAAGATTGGTTAGAAATGTTTATTATTACAATGACTATATCATTCGTCTATCAATACACCTAACAACATTGAAAGTGTCCTCAAACATCTACTCTTAGAAAGAGCAGGCCATATTTTTCATTTCTATAAACTCGAAGCTTGCATTCAGCAAGCCCTCTAATGGAAATTTTCATCATCGGTGCACAAAAACGACACTGGGCCCATGCCTTCCCATTTAATGAACTTAAATACGTCCAGACAAGTTATATAAATGCGTTTTTGGGGGGGGGGGGGCGAGAGGTCTAATATACTTGCTCACGGATACAAAAAGACAAATCCAATCCACACGATTTGAATAAGGCGAAAATTGAATACTAAGATATTAACTGCCATCAGAAACTGGACAACTTAATGTTTCCATAATTCGAATACAGAAAAATCGGACACATAATTTTAATTTTTCATATATTCAGGCACTAATTTAGGACCAAAACTTATTAAATATTGTGTATTACCACGAATAATAAAAATAAATGAAAGGGTGACCTATGGTCGAGTATACTTACTCAATTTTGTTGCGCTTAAAGGGCGGTGAAGAGACATTTGTATCATAGACAAGAGAGGTGGGTGTGGCATGCGGTTGCTGCCGCATTGGACGTTTTCTTGACGAGATCTCCTCAGGTGCTTGCTGTTGTGAAACAGGCACGAGTTCTTGGTGAGGTAATCCATGATTTCTTTTGTGATTCGATGCGTTGTTGTTCGATAAAAAAGGAGCGGAAGCAAGGCCTCTTAGCCGCTCCTCCAATGGGTTTTCGTTAGGGGGAGGATTTTCATCCGCCCGACGATTTACAGTTTTTGACTGTTAATTTAAAATAAGACGTTAAACATGGAATAATGATTCCCCATTTGACTATCATCAATGCCGAATGACTGATTAACAACCTGCCGATCCATCTCCATATAATCATACTATTATCTTATAGAATCTCGGTCTTCCTATTTAACCTTCATAACTGCAGCTAAAGTACTACATAAGGGAAAAATAACAAAGGTAGACTAACCAGGAGACAACCTTAAGCCAATATGATGGGACTTAGAATAATGCCTGTAATAACCAGACGTAAAAGCATCAAATGGGATCAGTAATGAGCCACGAATTTCAGCGACACAACTGGAGCAGCTAGTAGAAATATAAGAGAGCATTATCTATTGAGACAAGGGGTAACATTAAACATGGCATTCCATGTATTCCTGAACTAATCTATTTAAATAATTGACTGATTTATTTCCTCCATCATTACAGCGTATAACTATTCCCAAGCAAAACTAAGGGTAGCGTTGAAAACGCGCGACTTAGGTAAAGGGAAGATATCATGCAACCGCACTGTGTAACGATGAGCACTAATCTCAGGACTTACAACCAGTGCACAAGGCTGCATTGCGCTGCCACCGATTAGTTTATGATGACAATAAGATCATATAGAGGAGAAATTTTACCAGGTGATTATTGTGATTTCCACTATTGTTGAGATGGTTAGACGCAGAATTACCGAGCTGGTTTAGTTCTTCTTCAATTGCTCTATTCTCGGCCAGTGCGTCCACAATAGATTTGACCTGAGAGTGGTATGTTTTATCCAATTCGGGACTAAAATAGAAAGGTCACAAAAGTAGTTAGTTGATGTACCAACAAAGGAAACAAAATCTATAACATTTTTTTATGGCTTTAGAGTAATATATTTCAGTGACCTGCTTCAACCTGGTAGCCGACGTTTAAAGATTTTGAAGTAATTTTACAACCTATTTAGCTCAGATCTAAACCCTATTTGACGCCCATTTCGTCGAATTAGGAAACAATCAGCAAATGAGTTAAATAACATAATTCAAATAGATTTAGTATATTACGATTCCCAAACTGAATGTTTGGTATGTTAACACGAAATGTAGGCAAAAATAGCACTATTTGAGTTACACGGTACTTTAAGAGTTTGAATATGCACAAGAACAGACAAAATAGCTAAAAGCGTTAGCTCTAAAGAAGTCTCCCTAAATCCACAATGGAGAAATTTTCTCAGAAATTGGCGGAACAAAGGCCATTTGGGAAGCACTAAAAAATGAAACAACACTAACGAACTTTGAGCAAGTACTAGATATGTACAAATGACTAACTCAAACTACTTCGTATACCAGTGCATGTAAATGTTTTGTATAGGAAAGTATAACAATCAACAGCACACAAGGATTACAGACCTTGTTCAAAAAATCTACCCCAATACGCAAAAAATAATTCCCTTCGTTGAGTGTTCATCATTTGATGCATAAGTTGCTACAAACCGAAGTGTAAAAAGTGGCTGTAATCAAAGATATTATTTCAATGTATAGTAATTATTTTGTATCTAATAATGCCATAATGGGGCATAACGAAAGAGTCGCCCTAAAATTTCAGCTATATCACAAGTAACTACGTGGTACTGATGAATGTACGATAAAGCAGATTGACTATCAATCATCGTAAATACATACAAAGTCGGAGAGATGTTTCCACCAACCGTCCAATCAATCCCTTCTTTCACTAATGAATCTGAAGCTGAATGGATGCCTCAACCGAAGTTGATCACTGGAACTAGTTCGCATTATGATTCTTGGCAAGTACAATTAGCTAAGATGAAAAATAAGGTAAAGGAAACTTTTCTAACAAATGAATTAAGTTTTAGGAAAATTACTTTTTTTCGCATGATGCCGAGGTCAAAATCGTCAAGGTTATGACACATTACTAAAAAGTAGATTGGAGTCTACTATAACTTTTCCATTTTAAAAAAGATATCAGGCAGATGGATTAGTGGCCAAATAGGCAAACGTAGACTGTGATAAAAGCAAAAAAACCAATAGGATTTTCATTTCAATATGTACGATGAGAACGGTTCAATGTTCAGGAAATCAATAACATCTATAGACAAAGGAAGAAGAAATGATAAAGGGGCAAAACTTGGTGCATAATGACCACTTACTGGTTCTCAATACAAGCCAAGACCGACTGAAGCCGATTGACAACGGCGGCACTTATTACAGAACATTGAGCAGAAGATTCCAACTGCTCACGAATCTTCCTCTCTAACCACTAGAGTTAATACAAGGGTAAATATTTTAAAACAGATCCGCCTATAGGGAAAACAAATACCCCGATTCATTCACCTGATAAGTCAGCTGGAGATATTCCTTGCTAGCTAGTTGTTCTTTACTTTGAGCGAGACGTCTTGACTCGTAAGAATTTAAAATTTGAGAAATAACTTGTCGAACTATTTAAAATAAAGTGGGTTCAAAATTGCGTACCTGTATCTTGTAAATCCGGATCAGAAGGATTATCAACCAATTCACGGAGCGCTATTATGAGATCAACAGGATATACGATTTCCTCTCGCCAGATTTTTAGGATTCGAAAAATTAATGGTTTATCAACAGGAAGACATTTCAATATTGCGAGAAATAACGTGTCGATATTTCTTATGAAACGACGCTTATATACATCAGCGCCGCTAATGCCCTTAGAATGACGTATAATTGCGTCAATGATGAGCAGGCCCAATACTTTATGACTTGCTGGACAATTAACGATGAATTTTTCAACTAGTTGAACAACATGTTTATAATACTTGACCGCCCTTATAGCTGAAGCAACAACCGATGCCAATTTTGACTTGGTCAATGGTAAAGGATTACTCAAAATTGATTTTAACTAAAGAAAATAGATATGGATATTCGACAAACCTCAAGTTCAAATGTTTCTAAGCCATCCATTTTATTCAAGCGCTACATAAAAACTTCACACATCCCTCTTTTACAATCAAACGACTAAACAGTTCCAATCATGTATATATATATATATATATGTAATAGTTATTGTTTATTTATTGATTTAACTGGCAATATTAAATTAAATCAAGATTTTAGAATGCTTTATTCAAATTTAAAATAATTAGATCTAACACGTATTCGCCCATTTACCAGGTGCCACTTAATTGACCTATGACCGACTTCAATAATCAGATATTATTTAATCAGTTTCAAAGAGTCTCACATTTGCCAAAATAAAAAAAATGTGGTCCATTCATGGCTAACCGCATTCAGTATCCAGTGCATAACTACTACGGTCTTCGACAATTTCTTGCAGCCACCTAAATTCTTCCTAACCCCTTCCATTAATCAATGTGTAGGGAGGCATCAACTCACCCCATATTTCATCACACTCCTTGAAGAAGGAGAATACACATCTGTCTGTTTTTGATGCTCCAGTCTGAATAAATTGGCAAGTGTTCTCTGGACCGTGTAAAACTCAACTCATTTGCTTTTTTGCTGTGTTGTGAATTTGATGCTGACAAAATTTTGCCAAACGTAAATAACCAGACTGTTGGCAATTCATCAAGATTTTTAAGTGAAGTCGAAAGCTTTTCACCATCGGCAGATCATGTTGGCGAGCTTTTGTGTGGAGAATTTGCCTCTGAGAGGCCTGTCTGTATGTGTAATGAAGAAGGTTTTCTTTAGAAGAGATCTCTGTGATAGAGAATGGAGCACTCACTCCGAAGATACTGTTTCATGTGAGTGGTGTTTCCATATGTATTTCTCCTTATGTATGGAAGGTAGCTGAAACTTCCTTAACCTTTACTAAACATAGCTCGCAAATTTTAACACTTTTACTGCAAAACAGAAGAAGAGAACACAGTCGTGACATGTAGCTTTATTAGTAGCAATTATAGATTAGAAGAATGAACATCAAGATAATGAATTATTTATCGTGGCTTTAAAGTAGATATAATAAAGGATTGTGATGCATACAAAAGGGATTCAAAGGGTCATGAAAGAAAAATGAAGGTTGAACTATACGCTACTATCCAGTGGTATTATGGTAAAACGATACAAATGTTAATTTTCTAAAAATGATGAATCGGTCAAATTGATTAGTTTGGAAAGCTTTACTAGGTAACAATTATTGCCACTATTTGCGTTTGAAGGCTTTCATCATCAATAATATTAATGCTAAATTTCAATATAAACGTAATTTATATATTTTTGAGCATTTCGCTCATTTTAAAAAGATGAATGGTAAGTATTTTGTTATTTATAAATTCAGTATCACCTCTTCAGTTAAGATCTAATCATGCTCAAATAAGTCTGGCGTATAAATGAACATATTAATTCAAACATCTGAAAATGAAATAAAATTGTCAAAATTTTATCACTTTCACTTTAATTTCACTTTTTCTGGATACCCATTGCATTAGTTTTAGTTGGAACTTCTTGGTTTTTAATTAATGCCATTTACGTGATGAGCAACAATCTAACTTATTTAGCATCGCCAATATTTAAGTAATAAGTGTGTGAGAATTTGCTTCTTAGTTTGAAAAATAAATTTGAAATAGCCACACGTATTCTCTAGGATAGCCCGCATCAAAATGATTTCGGAAAAAGTTGGAGATACTCGATTAGATAGCACAAAGGGGTTTACACTGAAATACCCTTTATTTATAAAACTACTCACAAACTGTACGACCTACCTTTGATCAGTTGTGAAACCTACTGGTCTCTAAAGAAAAGCTATCAGATTAAAATTTACCAGTATTAGTATAGAAGTAGCGTTGCTGTCAAATAGTTAAAATTATGAATATATCAATATATTCACTGCTGCTCGTGATCAGTCGATCTGTCTTTCGCATAAACTGGATGCTTGAGATTGATTTTCAAGGTATATATGTATTTACCTCCTAATCTTTAGGTTCTAGGTGACATTTTGATGTTTAATATGTTAATCATTAACTTTCAGGGTCATTTAAATTTTATTATTGAATATACATATTTTAATAAAATGTTCTCATATTTTAAAATGCAAAGAAGGAAGTAGTTTGAACAGATTGGAAGCTTTCGATATAGAATAAATATTAACCATCCTAAACTCGAAAACCATATCTTAAAATTTTAAACAAGAAAGCAACCTTATTTTTTGTAATATGACTATATACTAGTAGCTAACTAAATAGCCATAACCATAATGTTGATGTGCAAAATTTTACCAATTTTCTAGTACAATACTGAAATAATAAAATTTTTAGCTTAATGAATTGGAATATCTCAATTATCAATATTTATATTTGTATAATGAGCTGTGTAATTTAGACTTGCAATATGCTAGTCGTGTTAACGACCCTTGCGCATCTTATCTTTTGGGCACTCTTCAGGTACATTGCGGATGTTTGGCTATTTGACAGTTAATTTTTTCTATTTCTAGCCCTTTAGCTTTCTTAATTTAATTTAAATTGTTTTACATTAGCAATTCCTTGCAGATTTGTTTCTTTTATTTGTAATCCCTCCGATGATCATTTTCAGTTTTCTTAGAAATGAGTCTGGAAGCCATTTATAAATCGCTTGCAAAGGAAGTGGAAAAGATGCAAGAGGTGGAATCTAATATTCAGAAAAGACTCCAAGCCTACCAGCAGTTGGTTGGTCAGCTGTCGGAAAATGAAAATGTCAACGAGGACCTGGAGGTATTGACTGAAGATAATAAGGTCTACAAACTCATCGGACCTGTTCTTGTCGAACAATCTCTGTCAGATGCTCGTGATACCATTAAAAAGCGTCTTAAGTTCATTCAGGATGAAATGTGAGTTTATCATTTTGCCATTTTATGTGCGATTCCCTGCTATAATCACTCAAATTAAGTGTATAATTTTGTAAAGGTCTCTTATTACCATGACCATTTCATTTTGAAAGGTATATTCTAGTTTATTCATTTTCAATATATTTGTCCGTATGCATATCAATTTTTAACTTTAGAGTCCGATTTTGTGCTGTTATTGGATGATCTCAAGTCCTGCACTTTCTTTTCACGAGCAGTGATGTCCCTTTAATTTTAAAGGACCGAATAGATATCTTGTTTTGTTTTTCATGACCTGGAGTAATTAATCTTAATTTCATTTTTTCATGTTTCTAATTTTACAGCCCTTGTCACTTCAAACGCTTTTTACTTTATTCATTTTAAATCTTGAAATGGCATTGACTGGCCTATGCTTTTACTAATTGAATTGGTAGACCTCAACTGATTTTCTATCTTGAAATTTTATTAAAAATGTTTAAAATTAGATAATCATTCCTTTTTCTCAATTGAGGAAACGCAATGATGAGATGATTAAGTCTCTGGAGAAGGAGCGAGATTCACATCGGGAACAAATTCTAAAACTACAACAACGCTTCCAACAAGAGCAGACCAAGGCGGCTCTCAAGGCATAAGTTTCCACTTTTTTGTCCCCACCTTTTCACCCTCTGCAAAATATACCTCTCTGTTTGATCACTTCCATGATCTTTTGACACAGTTTGTTTATTCAAAGATTGATAACTAATTCAGTGTGTGGTATTTTAAAGTAGAAACATAGTCTATTGAGTTAGGCCTAAAAGTCATGAAATGTACGATGGGAGAAGTGAGATATTGTATTCTATTTTATCGAGCTTGTTTCGTCGAAGGGCGTGAGGTTATCTTTATCCTAATTATTTTGTCACTTCGCCTATAAGTAAAGTGCAAATATAGTGCTCTGGTCTAATGCTTAGGGTTTTCAATGTTAAATCTGAGAGTAGCTCAAAAATCCACAAAACATGTTCTCAATCTTGAAAGTCGATCGATTTTTGTCATCATTTGCGCCTCCACTATGCACTGAAGCACAGTACTGAGATGAACAGGAGGTTATCTACAGGGTCAGACATACTATAAGCAGTTGGTGTAAGGATTATCAAAGTGCTGCTGTGGATCAAGCCGTGAAGGGAATACTTAGACGGGTTTTGCAGTTTGGAATAATTATCTTTTCAAAAAATCTCGATCAAACCACTTTCTTTATAGTTGAGAGATCTTGTCATCCAATATTATTATGTTAAGTGTTTGGCTTCCGCCTCTATGATTTATTCGTTAACTAAATATCTCTAGACTATGATTGGCTCAGGCCTCAATAAAGGGGGGGGGGGGAGGATTGAAATACATCTACTCCCCTTGTGGAGTCTATTTCTTTAGGAAATCGGGTAATAGTTTTCATCCAAAAAAGTTTTCGCGCCTATATATTGAAATAGTATGCCTGTTGAAAATTTAGAAACTTGATCAGAGTATGCACGGCCCTCCCTATGTAAGTGGAAAATGGGAATGCACAGGTCGTTGGCAAGATCAAGACATATTATCACCATGTCACTTGTTCATTGTGGTGGTGGTGGGGGGGGGGGGGGGGNGGGGAAGTGGGGAGTGAATTTAAGTAATTCCGACAAGATGGTCGCTTCCTCTCACTTTTTGTAATATTTTGACTTGTTGGTCATTTTTACCATTAATAATGACTACCTAAAGAATGAATTTTGAGCTTAAGAGAATTATTTTATGCACTTTATCCCATTCTACAAATTGAAATTAACTTCGAAACATCTTAAAGCTATTCTACTTTTATAAGCCTCTGTTGACCAAGATTTTCTAATGCTTTACTTTTCTTCCTCCCAATTATACATCTTTATTTTTGTGGTATCTAAAACAAGTTCTCATTTTGCTCAAAAAAATGTATTTGTTCAATTATAATTGTTCAGTTGTTACTGTTGTTGCAAACTATGTGCTAACGTGGGATGGAATATTTGTGCGAAGTCAAGAATTAGTTGTTGGATATACTTAACAGTTGGGGTATACATTTCTTCTACATTTTTCACACCAGAAACAGAGTCATCTTGTTCCGGTTTGGCGTAGAACTTGGCTGCGAAATTTTCCAGGCACATTTGCATATTACGTCGATCAGCTTCGAATTCAGAAGCCACACCTCCCTTCTCTTCTTCAGCTAGACACTTTCTGATACAGTTAGCAAGTTCAGGATAGAATTCATCGGCAATTGCTAACAAGCACACTCGCAATTCATCCCAATCGCCATAATTTCCTTCACATGTTTCGGATTCCACTGATTCAATCCTACAATCTTTAGCCACATCATCTTCGTCACCATTCATCTCTACAGATTCTATGTCCATTCCAGATGCACATTTGATCCATTCCTGGTAGAGTTGTTCGTTAATTTCTGCCTGGTTGCATGTCTTCTCTTTCATAATCGGACTCTCAACATTTCCGTCACATTCTCCATATTCGAATAATGGCACGCTCTTTTCAACCATAACGTCTTCTGTAGTGCTTTCGCATTCTTCTCCTTGCACTCTTTCTGAGTCTACACCGCATTTGCTTTCTTCCTGTTCGGTAGCGTAAAGGATTTCGTCGAAGATAGAATCGAAAAGTGTTCCTTCCTCCTCCTTCTGCCCTATGGCATTGATATCAGAATCCTCAAATTGAGTATTAGTGTGCGATGTGATATTTTGGTTGGTACTTGGTTCAACTTGACTGAAGTCAGAAGATAGGACTCCTGGGTTTAAAAGTTCTCCTATTTTAGTTGCAGAAAGTTCGTCAGTTAAGGCACTTCTTTCTTCCATAGTAGTATTCTCATTTACAACTAAAATAACTTCCGATACCATAGATAAGTTTTCATCAGTCACCAGGTCGTCAGTTTTCTCAACTAACTCATGAGATTCCATCGGATATTCAAGATTTGAGGTAAACCCATTTGTAGTGTTTTCATCAAACATGGGTGTGTTATCTTCAAATAAAGAAAATTTCACTTTTGGAGGATTTTCAGAATTTTCTTGTGATTCATTCGGTTGTCCCGAGATCACATCACCGGATACATTGGAATCTTCTATTTGGAGACTTGAACTTTCAGGTAAGTTTTCCATAATGCAGCAAGCTAAATCAGCATCGAACTGTTTCAAAAGTTGCATGAAACAATCCTCGAAAATATCTTCACTGGTGAGGTCAGTTTGTGTCTCATTAATGGAAGTTAATGGGTGAATGTCATCAATAATACTTATTTCCTGCGAAAAATTCACGCTTTGTGCTTCAGTATTATCATCGGCGCCACAACTTACAGTCATTCCATACTCTCCATTAAAATTCTTGCTGTAGTCAGGCTCTCCTGATACTAGTTGAACATCCTCAGTAAAATGATCAGGAGTTATCGTCATTTCTGACTTCTCTTCTTCGTCTTCGAGTTGTTCAAAAATAGATAGAACTCCTGCCTGACTCTCTTCACCAATGTTTACATTCATAGTTTCCTCGGTTTTGACTTCGTCAAAAATCGATTCATCTATTGTGGTTTCGTCCCTATCGATTTCACTCTCCTCCTCATCATCATCATTGGTGGCTTTTTTTATGTGCTTAATACAATCCACCAGTTCCGGATATGCTTCTTCAATAAAGCTTATGAAGCTATCTCTCAGAGAATCTTCAATGCTAGCACATTCAGATCCTTCCGAAATATCTACCAAAGTTCCTTCAGGTTCACAAGGGTCACAGCTCTTGTCAGACTCTCTTATGTATTTGCCTAAGTCAGGACAGAGTAAATCAACTAATTTCACCAGACAGTCTTTGATATCACCGTCACTCAAAGACGCTTCTAAAGCTTCACTGACCTCTAAAATGCTGATATCACTGATTTCAGCTTCAGTGGAATTACAATCATTGTATTTTTTGATGCAGTCGGCCAATTCAGGGCTTATTTGCTGCACAAACTGCTCAAGACATTCCCGAACGCTATTGTCTTTACTCACCATCTTACTTTCATCACATACCATATTTTCACATTGTATAAAGTCTTGAGTGACTTTCTGTGGCATTTCACACTCTTCCTCCGCCTTATTGATTTCCCCTAGGGATTGCTTGGTATAGGGGGCCAAGTCAGGATAGAGTTCTTCAACGAACTTTAGGAAACAATTGCGCATTGTTTCCTCATCCCATTCAGTTTCTGTATCACTTCCATCGGAGTAATTACATAGTTTGGGATTAGTTTGGTCCATGAATTGGAAAAGGCTATCTATGAGATCATTTTCACCCAAAGTCGACTCCTCCTCATCGCATTGGTCAGGATCTGATACTTTGCCACTTTCACACCCCCTGATACAGTCAGCTAGTTCCGGACAAAGTTTTTGAACAAGTCTTAAAAGTTCTCTTATATCTTCTTTATTCCATTCTGCAGCAGGATCGTTGTTTTCTTTGCAACATTCCTTGTAAGACGTTCCCGTTGCTGTAGTTAGAGTCTTGTCTGCGGTTACTTTGGGACAGCAATCTATTTCCCGAATCAATTGTTGGACGTGTTCCAGCAAGCACCTTCTTAATGCCTCTTCAGTCCATTCTGATTTTTTACCGCATTCTTTGTTAGTGGTTAGATTATCTGACTGTCTCCAACAAATATTCTGTTCATTTTCACATAATTTCTGAATTTCATGCTTGGCGCTCACTCCCATAGTTCTTTTAAAGCCAGTGTCAATCTTAGCTCCAGTAGATTGCATTATACAATTGAACATTTCTGGATACATTTGCTTGATGAGAAGCAAGAAGCACTTTACTAGTATCTCTTCAATCAGCTCAGCTGGTATTTCTTCTCTACTTTGATTGCATTGACCACAGGTAATTTTTGCACTTTCTGTTTCTTTAACTTTACATTCAACGAATTTAACCTTCTTTGTGTTTTCAACGCAAGGCGTCATTTCATTGTCGAGGTATTGAATCAATTGTGCAAAGCATTTGTTGAGACCTTCCAAATCGGTTTCTGATTCAGCTCCATCACACTTCTGTTTATCTGCGACAGCAAATCCTTCTTGATTACGGCATTCTCCACTCAAATTTACTTTGCATACTTCTTCCTTGGGCTTCGATCCTTTCATGACACTTTCAATCAATTCTGGGCATAACTGTTGAATGAGTTGAAGTATACACTTCACGAGAAACACATCATCAAGTTCAATCTCACAATCACCATTCTTATGGCTTTTATATCCCTCACTTCTGTTACTTTGACAGGTCGCAGATTGATTGATACAGCAAGGCGACTCAGTACAAGGTTGTGGTAGGCAAGTTCTTACTTGGCTTTCAACTTTTGGAGCTTGAGTGGGAACACAGACATTACAAGTTGAATCTTTGGTCACTTGTGCACATTTGCTCTCACATGTCTCTTTATATCCCTCACTCCTGTTACTTTGACAGGTCGCAGATTGATTGATACAGCAGGGCGACTCAGTACAAGGTTGTGGTAGGCAAGTTCTTACTTGGCTTTCAACTTTTGGAGCTTGAGTGGGAACACAGACATTACAAGTTGAATCGTTGGTCGCTTGTGCACATTTGATCTCACATGTCTCTTTATATCCCTCACTCCTGTTACTTGGACAGGTCGCAGATTGATTGATACAGCAGGGCGACTCAGTACAAGGTTGTGGTAGGCAAGTTCTTACTTGGCTTTCAACTTTTGGAGCTTGAGTGGGAATACAGACTGTTGATTTGCATGTTTGGCCTCCACTTTGGTTACAGCAGTTTGGCCTTTCAGGCCATAGTTTTGGAATTAATTCCACGAGACAATTTCTGAAACACTCAGCAATCTCGGCATAAGTTGCACAATCGTTAACCACTTCGTCATCGGCTTCTTCACTCGTGTCTAGAAGTTCTTCTTCATCTTCTTCACAGTCACATTCTTCACTACTTTCTGTGGATTCTATAGTGTCTTCAGCTAATTCAGCGCAAATTCTTTGAGTTAATTCCATTAGACATTCATCGAGAATATCTTGGCTATCTTCAGTCTCAACGTCATATGTTATCGATAGGTCTGAAGTTAGTTCCTCCATTGTTGACTCGGTGTTGAACTCTCCAACTTCCTCTGTTTTATCATCGCAGTCGCAGAGCATATTCTCTTTACACGCGTTGTTAATCATGCCTCTTGCGGATGCATTTGAAGTATTTTTCGCAATATAATTAGACAAATCTGGATAAAGTTGCTCAATAAACTGCAAGAGACAGTATTTAAGATCATTTTCGGTTTCTGGAGTTTCTATAGCCTCATATATAGCTAATAAACAAGCACAGAGGTCTTCGAGGTAGACAGAACTAGTATGATCAGCTTGTCTAAGACAGTTGGCCACCTCGGGATAAAGTTGTTGAAGGAGTTTGATAAGACATTCTTTATCGCTAAAATAACTGATTTCGGAGCAGTCTTGTGCGGACTCACCTAAGATATTTCTCTTTGAGATCACAGGAATTTTCTTTTCGGGGACGATTTTTATATGTGGACTTGTATCTGTAGTTGATAGGCAACTTGAGTAATCATCTACCTTGCCGTAGATTTCTTGACATGCACCGCAATATTCCACCTCTGAAGTAGACCTCATTCTCGTGCTCTCTTCCTCGCTGTTCTGATCCTGATAAAAAGCATTCTTTGCCTTGTGTTTCAGGCGGACTTTCACGCTTGACGGTATCCCACCGTAGATGTTTCTGATGAGATAGAGAAGTCCTCGTCGAACAACAGCTTGAGTTCCAGGATCTCCCCACCACGTAGGTTTCTTCTTGGGTCGCGGCATAACGTTCGTGTCGATCGTTGTCGCTTATAGTGACCTTATATAGCAAGATCTCAGAAATGCACTTCCATTTTCTCCATCTTGTGAGCGCCTGCTTTTGTGTGGACTTTCCTCTTCACGTGTCAAGTTTTTGCTCTTCTTTCCATACTTTTAGTGAGCAAATCCCCATCTTCAATCTTCTTTCACGTGCCATTTTCCTTGAAAAGTAAAGGAACTATTAGTAGTTATTTTTACAAGGCAATCGTGTAATATCAATATTTTTCCTCCGATATTCAAATTCATAGAGAACTCATGTTTTGTCTCGGTTTATTTTAATATAAAGTTACATTTATGCACTCAAAATGGTTTAAACTCTTGAGTAACAACAAAGCACAATCTTTTTTTGTCGTCCCAGCAATTCGTCTTCTATAGCTTTAAAATTTTCGCCTGCCTTCTTCTTTGGACTTCAAAGAGAGGAATTAAGAAATTAAAATATTTTTTTTATACCTACAGTCGCTTAAAAACCTTTGAATTTTCTTTAAATTTTCTACAATCGATTGAAGAGTTTGGGGGGTAATGGGTCGTAAGGCTGGGAAATTTGGAAGAACTAAAACTGGGCTTAAG